TTTCACTGACCCTCTACTTTACCAAGCATGATGTCCTTCTCCAGGGACTGGTCCCTCCTGATAACATGTCCAAAGTACGTGAGACGAAATCTCACCATCCTCGCTTCTAAGGAGCGTTCTGGCTGTACTTCTTCCAAGACAGGTTTGTTCATTCTTCTGGCAGTCCATGGTATATTCAATATTCTTTGCCAACACCACAATTCAAAGGTGTCAATTCTTCAGATTTACAACACCTATTTTGGGGGGAAAACGATTCAATTTATCACAGTTATTATTTATATTCTGTTTCCACAGCACTCTCCTTTTTCCCGAAACTGACTGGGGTTTTCTTTCGAAATCTTTTGTTACCAAATTTTTATTTTTTTAAATATTTTTTGGATGGCATGTGTTTTCAGTATTGGAATGCAGGCTTACATTTTTGGTTGGTAATATGGATTTTGAGAAATAGGACCTGGTAATACAAGCCGCCACGGAGTGCCGAGCGGCACTGTGACGCCACTGATCTGTAGTATAACAATATGCCAATAAAAACTAAATAGAGAATTTGCTGTTGACGCCTTTCCATTGGGTTACATGGGAACCTGTGCTTTTCCAAATATGACCCAGAAAAACCAAAACAAGCCCACTAGGGCTCCCTAACCATCACACAGGAAAGCTGTCATTGTGCTTTCAAGCCTCATCTCACAGAAATAAAGGGAAAAAGGCCAAAGTTTACAAAACTAACAGATCCAGGAAGCATCACCTAATAGAGTGCTCAACCCACACAACAATGAGGCTGCAGCTCTGGTCTGCTGAGCGTCACGCATTTCAGAAGAGACCCCCCCCTTGACGCTAAATGCATTAGAACCGGAATAACGCCTTACCTCCGAGGTTAAGCCAATACTAACGAAAGAGTTAACATCTGCATTAGCCTTCTAGGGCTGCCTGGCAAAATACCACAAAGGAGGTGACTTACAAGCACAGAGATCTATTATCTCAGGGTTCTGGAGGCGGAAGTCCAAATCAACAGATTGGGAGAGCCACGTGGTCTCTGTCCTCGCTACGGGAAGATCCTTGCTCGTCTCTTCCAGCTGCTGGTGTTATTGCGAGTTGCCGTCGCGTCCACTCTGACTCATGGCGGCCCCAAGTGTGCAGAGCAGAACTGCTTCGTGGGGTTTTTCAATGGCTGTAACCTTTCAGAAGCAGATCGCCAGGCCTTTCTTCTGAGGCGCCTCTGGGTGGGTTCCAGCCGACAGATTTTCAGCTGGTTGTCGTGCGCTAACTTGGCTTGTGGCTGTATCTTCCCGTGGCCGTCTTGTGTCCATTAGCAGACACTCACTAACTGAAAGGCTGACAGTTTGAACGCGCCAGCCGCTGTGCAAGAGAAAGACCTGGTGATCTGCTTCTGTAAAGATTGAAAAAAAACCCACAAAAAACCAAACCGCTTGCCACCTTGGAAACCCTATGGTTCTACTGTCTTATAGGGTTGCTGTGAGTTGGATTTGACTTGACAGCAATGGGGCATTTCAAATGGCGAATGCACACAGCTGCAAACGTTATCACTCAGCTGCTATCCTAAAGGTGGGAGGTTCGCGTCCACCCAGAGGTGCCTTGGAAGAAAGGCCTGGCCATCTACTTCTGAACAATCAGCCATCGAAAATCCTATGGGGCGCATTTCTACTCTGGGGCACATGGGGTCGTCATGAGTCAGAATGGACTGGACCGCAACTATTTTTTTTTTTTTTTTAATTTAAAAAGTACAGGGATTTCAGAAGTATGCTCATACCTGTACGTAGCCCTAACATAAAAGTATTCTTCGCTACGAATTTCTCTATTTCTTTGATGCCTAGAATCACAGCATTTACAGATGGAAACGGGCTTTTGGGTCATCCCTTACCCACCCCACACCTCAGCCCCTAATGTGGAAAGACTCTCAAAGCAAAAATCTAACCGCCATATTCTCTTTCTTTAATGAAGTCGGAGGTGTAAATTACGTCTGCAGCCTCATCTTCCTGATGTGGGCAGCTTTGAACTTCTTCAAGGAAGTGACAATTTATATATTCCTTTTAGTCTCCCCGAAGGATATGCTTTGCAATATTTATTTGAGATGTCTCCAGCTGAGGCCAAAGACGTTTCCGAATTCATTAGGATCACTGTGTCAGCTCTCCTTTATTTTTTTTAACTCATTGCTGAAAATACTTAGAGGTTTTCTTTTATTTTTTTTTAAATTTTGAAAAGGCATTCTAAAACTTAATTTGGGGCATGTGGCAATGATACCAGATAAATGATAGAGAATGAAGCAATACAAAATAAAATAGCAGGGTTTATTGCTTGGGTGTTACTGTGATGCCGGAAGCTATGCCACAGGTATGTAAATACCAAGGAGCCCTGGTGGTGCAGTAGTTAAGCACTCGGCTGCTAACCAAAAGGCTGGCAGTTTGAATCCACCAGCTGCTCTGTGGGAGAAAGACCTGGTGATCAGCTTCCATAAAGATGAAAAACAAAACCAAATCCATTGCCACCTTTGGAAACACTGTGGTTCTCCTCTGTCCTGTAGGGTTGCTATGAGTTGGAATTGACTTGATGGTAGTGGGCCGTTTCAGATACCAGTAGGGTCACCCGTGGTGGACAGGTTTCAGCGGAGCTTCCAGACTAAGAGAGACTAGGACGAAAGGCCTGGCAATCTACTTCCAAAAATCAGCCAATGAAAACCCCATGGATCCGAATGGAACACTGTCCATCTGCTTGCTTTGGACACGTCATCCGGAGGGATCAACCGCTGGAGGACGACAGTGTTTGGTGAAACAGAGGGCCGGCAGGGGGGTGGGGGGATCCTCAGTGAGACGGATTGGCGAGATGGACACCCCGACGATTGTGCGGATGACGCAGGACCGGGCAGCGTTTCCTTCTGTGGTCCACGGGGTTGCCATGAGTCAGAGTCCACTGGGCAGCAGCCATCTGTCTCTACGGTTGCTTGGTGGTTAGAATATGTAAACCAAGCACAGAGTATCTAAACCATGTTCAGAAGTGCCTGAGAGAGATGACTGTTGGGTACTAACTTCCCACTGGAACATCTGCTCTGGGGAGTGCCTCCCTGCCTGAGCAGACCTGGTGGGTCGGCGACGTGGGCCGGGCAGCCACCCCTCCCAGACCTGGCGTCTCCACCTGGTGTCCTTGACTCACCTGCTGGTTCTCTAGGCCTCCTCTGAACTCCCACGCGAACCTGGGCTTCTCAAGCACGCAGCAGCTCTAATCTCCATTCTATCAAATCTTACGCATCATGACTGGCGCCGCCAGGCTGTCTCGGGCTTGGCTGATGCTGGAAAGAGGCTGATCAACTGATTCCCGCTAGGTGTCAGGGGGTGATGGTACCCTGGCACCTTGCCCCCAAACTGTAGTCTTAGTGGGTACACCTGAGCATTCAGGCGTTCTGGTCTACCACATTTAGAAGACAACCACAAAACTAAACAAAAGAAAATTCTTCCTTCATCGTCCATCCATGCTCACTTAGGAAGACAGAAAGGAAATCTAATTAGTTTACTTCACCCCAGACTTCCTAAACCAAAGACCAAAGCTGTTGCTATCGCGTTGATGCTGACTCACAGTGATCCTAGAGGACAGAGGAGAACTGCCCCATGGGGTTTCCAAGGAGCAGCTGGCGGATTGGAACTGCCGACCCTTTGGTTAGCAGCCAAGCTCTTGACCACTGTGCCACCGGGGCTCCAGATTTCCTAGTGTTTATTTTTTACCATAATATCTCTCTTTCAAAAAACACCTATGGACGTACTTCAGAACTCTGCTTCCTGCAATCACAGCTGAAGATTTTGATGACATGGCTGGTGATGCAATAAGGAATTTGGAACAAAATATTGTAACGCTCCATGATACATTTTTTAGAGAACAAGTCTGTCAATTAAAGGAAAGATATGTGTAGACTCCAAGTTTCTTGTTAGTCTTAGTTGCCATTGAGTTGACCCCCAGTTCATGGAGACCCCATGTCCAACAGGATTGGACTGTCGGCTGATTTTCAGAAGGTTGTGATCCATACGGTTTTTGAGCTGATTTTCAGAAGTAGATCCCCAGGCCTTTCTTCCTAGTCTGTCTTAGCCAGGAAGCTCTGCTGAAACCTGTTCAGCATCACAGCACCACGCAAGCCTCCACTGACAGAAGGGAGTGGCTTCCCATGAGGTTCACTGGCTGGGAATCGAACCCGGGTCTCCTGCATGGAAGGAGAGAATTCTAACATCAATGCCCCCTAAAGTTTTCTAGGAAGTTCTATTTCCATTCTGACATAGTTGTGACCTTTTTTATGCCTGTGCAATTCTTGACTTACCTGTGTTGATCAGGCCAACAGATGCCTTGTGCCTATTTGATGATTTGAATGTCGAATGTCAAATAACTTCATGTGGTTGTACGTGCCGTCGAGTCGGTTCTGACTCATAGTGACCCGATGTACAACAGAACGAAACACTGCCCAGTCCTGCGCTATCCTCACAATCGTTGTTATGCTGGAGCCCCTTGTGCAGCCGCTGTGTTATGAGTTGCCTTCAATCCCGACTCATGGCGACCCCACGTGTGACAGAGTAGAACTGCTCCATAGGGTTTTGTTGGTTATACTCTTTAGGGAAGCAGTTTGCCAGACCTTTCTTTCACAGCACTGCCGGGTGAGAACCAAACCGCCAACCTTTAGGTTAGTAGTCTGGCACAAATCTTTTGTGCCACCCAAGCTCCTTATTCACGGATTAACCATTCCAACCCGTGTTTTTTGGGGTCCGCGATTCAACCCGTAACACCATAAAGACCACACATCAGAATTGTATTTTTCTGCTCACGAACACGTTCTGATGTTTTATGGTTTCTGGGTAGCCTCACCAGTCATTTGATTTGTTCTCTTCCTTTTAGCTGGAAATAATGACAGAAGATCCCAAGAGGCTGTAAGGAGAATCCAGGAGGAAACCTTGAACGACAAAGGTATTGCTTGGTTGTCAGATGGCTCTTTTCACTTGGGAGAGATGCTTGGAGTCCGTGTTCAGGGCTGGGGTTCAGACTCGTGGTCCTGGGCTAGGGATTGCAGATGGTGAGCACCATATTCCTGCATTTCTCCTGGGAATGGCTGTTCCCCGCCGGAATATGAACAGGGACACCAAGATAGCGCTGCTCAGCTTAAGGGTCTCTGTTGTTGCTGTGGTTTTGTTGCCCTCGGGTCGACGCAGACTCACGGCCACCCGATAGGACGGAATACAACTGCCCCCATAGGGTTTCCAAGGAGCAGCTGGTGGATTCCAACTGCCAGGTGAGTGTTGGTTAGCAGGCGGACTCTTTACCACTGTGCAGCCGGGGCTCCTGTGTTACATAAGCAGATGGCAAATGATTGTTTTGGGCTAGCTGTGTCTGTTTGTAATGTTTAGAGTCTGAACATGCTGTAATAAATATCTCTGATTTATCGGATGAAAACAAGGTATAGAAAAATGTTTTAACTTTCTTTTTTGCAAAATTTTTTAAAATTGTACTTTAGATGAGGGTTTACACAGCAAATCAGTTTCTCATTAAACAATACACATATTGTTTTGTGACATTGGTTGCCAACCCCACGACATGTCAACCCTCTCCTTTCTCGACCTTGGGTTCCCTATTACCAGCTTTCTTGTCCCTTCCTGTCTTCTCGTCCTTGCCCCTGGGCTGCTGTGCCCCTTTAGTCTCGTTTTGTTTTATGGGCCTGTCTAATCTTTGGCTGAATGGTGAACCTCGGGAGTGACTTCATTACTGAGCTAAAAGGGTGTCCGGGGGCCGTACTCTCGGGGTTTCTCCAGTCTCTGTCAGGCCAGTAAGTCTGGTGTTTTTTCGTGAGTTAAAATTGTTGTAACTTTCTTGATGGCTTAGTTGCCTATGTTGAGGTTAAGATTTGGGAGTGGAGCACCCTTGGATGTGAGGGGAAGAACTTGGAGGAGAGGCTGCCCAGGGCGAAGCTAACGTCTGATGTGCCAACTTCTCATCTCCACGGATTATTTCTGTTAGTTAAGGAAGCAGGCATGTTGGCGTTGTTGGGTGCCATAAAGTCGATTTCGACTACCCTGTGTGATAGGGTAGAACTGCCCCATAGATTTTTCTTGGCTGTAATGTTTACGGGAGGAGGTCACCAGGCCTTTCTTCCACGGAACCGCTGAGTGGGTTCCAACCACAACCTTTTGGTTAACGCTTAACTGTTTGCACCACCAGGGGTCCTGGGCTCTTGGTAACTGGGGACGTATCTGGTGCTAATTGTTTCTCCAGTTCTAACAAGTACCACTGTGAGTTGCTTCTGAGTCAGCCCCTGACTTATGAGAAACCCAAGCATGATAGAAGGAAATGCTGCCCCGTCCTGTGCTATTCCCATGATTGTTTGTGGATGAGATCCTTGTGATCCACAGGGTTTTTTCACTGGCTGATTTTAGGAAGCAGATCACCAGACCTTTCTTCCTAGCCCGTCTTAGTCTGGAAGCTCCTTTGAAAGCTGTTCAGCATCACAGCAACACGGGAGCCTCCACTGACAGACGGGTGGGGTGGTGACTTGGAGTTTCTAGGTGATGCAAAGGGTTACTGCTCTCAACTGCTAACCCAAAGGTTGGAGTTTGGAGTCCACCCAGAGGTACCTCAGAAGAAAGGCCTGGCGATCTACTTTGGAAAAATCAGCCATTGAAAACCCTGTGGAGCACAGTTCTACTGTGACACACTTGGGGTCGCCATGAGTTGGGTTGACTCCACGGCACCTGGTTTATATGTTCTTATATACCTAATAATATATTATTAGCATGCACAGGAAATGCTTATTACTGTAGGGAGCACAATTATATCTAAATGCCCATTACCTCTCTGGCCTGCCCTTTTTTTTCCCCCCTTCCTTTTTCTGTATTTAACCCTTTTTTCTTAGCTCTTGGCTGAATGCTGTAGCCTCTTTGCTAGCTAGCGCCTTCTCTGCCTCGGAAGGCCTAGCCAATGGACATCATTTTTTGGGGGGTACACGCAGACAGACGTACCACTGACTGAGCTCTCAGGATTATAATTGTGTGAGTACTGCTGGGAACCAGCCAGCTGAAGCTCATTTCCCAATCTAAAGCCTTTCCAGGGAAGAGTTTCCATACCTCCTCATGGTTTATCTGTGATGCCAATGCTTTTATTGCCCTTGACTCATTATCTGCTGATGACAGAGATCTCACTTAGGAAGAAACCATCTTGTTAATTTACCAAAACCCCCCAAGGCCACAAAAACAAACAAGGGATCACAGGATGGGGCTCACTGATGGATCTTAAATCAATCAAATAGACGGGAGCAAATGAGCAACTCCTGCCCAAAAGCAAAGATGAGAAGGCAGGAAGCGACAGGAAAAGCGGACGAATGGACACAGGGAACCCGGAGTGGAAAGGGAAAGCGGGAGAGTGCTGTCACATTATGGGAATTGCAACCTATGTCACAAAACAATTTGTGTATGAATTTTTGAATGAGAAACTGATTAGCACTGTAAACTTTCATCTAAAGCACGATGAAATTAAAAAAAAAAAAGGGATCCCAAGAGAATAATGCCCACGTTAACTCAGATGAAATGGGAATAGATAATGATTTAAATACTCTTAAAAGTACAAAAACGAGTTGCCAGCAAGTCACGTCTGACTCCTGGCGACATCATCTTGTTTTCTTTCTTTTTTTTTTTCTCATTCAAAAATTTATACACAAATTGTTTTGTGACATTGGTTGCAATCCCCGCGATGTGACAGCACTCTCCCCGTTTCCATCCCGGGTTCCCTGTGTCCCTTCGTCCAGATTTCCTGTGCCTTCCTGCCTCCTCATCTTTGCTTTTGGGCAGGTGTTGCCCACCTGGTCTCCTGGACTTGACTGAGCTAAGAAGCACGTTCCTCATGTGTGTTATCGTTTCTAGGCCTGTCCAAGATTTGGCTGAAAAGTGGACTTCAGGAGTGGCTTCAGTTCTGAGTTAGCAAAGTTCCATAGGGTTTTCAGGGGCTGATCTTTTAAAAGTAGATCGCCAGGCCTTTCTTCCAAGGTGCCTCTGGGTGGACTTGAACCACCAACCTTTGGGTTAGCAGCTGAGCGTGATCACTGTTTGCACCACTTTTGGACTCCCAAGTTCACCACCGACTCATAGAAATCATGGAGGGATCATCCAAACGTGTGTCCCAGTCCCTAAATTCTCACTGCACTCAGGCTTTAAGAGGTGACAGGGATCCTTCTCGCTGTGCCTCTGTTTTTCATCATGACTGCTGCCTTCCTCCCTAATCCAGCTCTTTCGTAATGCTATCTGGCCTGTCCTGGCTTGCACCGGCTCTGTTTGGGTCTACCTGTTGGATCGATGTGCCTTTATGTCCTTATTACTTCGTTTTTGTTGTTGTTGAAATACAACAGTGCTCCGCCCCTCGTAAACTTGTCACAGGTCAATGAAGTAAGTGGTGTGCGCTGAGAGAGAGTTTCACCTTGGAGATACATTGTTGCAAACTCTGATGGGTGGTTACCCAAACAGGTATTAAACACTTAATGTTTGTAAGGAGCACAAAATACTACAAGGCCCTGAGTCTGCACAACTGAAAGTAAAGCTGATTATGGAGCTAGAAAAATGTGCTCAGCCCGAGTCAGATGTTGTTATTGTTAGTTGCCGAAAGTTGGCTCAGACCCATGCTGACACCATGCCCAGCAGAACCAAGCGTTGCCCAGTCTTGCACGATCATCACAAGCCATCGCTGGTATACTCAAGTCCATGGTTGCAGCCCCTCGTATTTGGAGCACCTTCCAACCGAGGGGGCTCATCTCCCTCCACTGTACGGGACAGTGTTCTGTTGTGATGCATAGGGTTGTCATGGGCTGATTTTCAGAAGTAGATAGGCAGGCCTTTCCTCCTAGTCTGTCAGTCTGGAAACACTGCTGAAACCTGTCCTCCACGGGTGACCCTGCTGTGGCACAGGCAGTGCTCGACTTGCGACCGGGGTCCGTTCTAATGGCTAGTCTGTAGTGACTTGGTTCTGAACTGTCTAATGCCTCATTGTGTTTTTTTAGTTTTCATTATTATTGCCTTTTATTATCAGTCTCTTTATAAATCCTGTTGGAACCCTGGTGGCGTTGCGGTTAAGAGCTTGGCTGCTCACCAAAAGGTCAGCAGTTGGAATCCACCAGCCACTCCTTGGAAACCCTGTGGGGCGGTTCTACTCTGTGCTGTAGGGTTGCTGTGGGTCACAATTGACTCATCGTTAACGGGTTGTTGGTTTTATATGTATATGTATACAAATATATATACGTATATATACATACATATATATATATACAGTGAATCGTAAATATTCACAGATTTCATATTTTATAATTCACTTTAAAAAAAAAACCCCAAACCTGCTGCCATCAAGTCAATTCCGACTCCTAGCGACCCTATAGGGCAAAGTAGAACTGCCCCATAGGGTTTCGAAGGCTGTACATCTTTACGGAAGCAGATTGCCACATCTTTCTCCCACAGAGTGGTTGGTGGGTTTGAACCACCAACCTTTCCGTTAGCAGCCGAGCACTTAACCACTGCACCACCAGGGCTCCTTATATATGTGTCCTTGCTGACACATGAGAGTCTCTATCCACTGGTCTTTGTCATTAAACAGGAGACAACTCATTTCTTGAATGGAGATCCATCTCAAGGCAAGTAGACGCCTAGAATCTTTCTTCTACCCACAAACTCTCTGCTTTTGTGGAATCATTTTTTATGGAGCTTGGTGAATTTGGAAGAACCATCATCTGAGTTGAGCCCATGGGTGGAGCAAACGGTTCAGCGCTTGGCTGCTCACAGAAAGGTTGGCAATTCGAGTCCACCCAGAGGTGCCTCGGAAGAAAGGTCTGGCAGTCTACTTCAAAAAAACCAGCCATTGAAAACCCTGTGGAGTGCAGTTTTACTCAGACACACATGGGGGGGCCATGAGTTGGATCAACCTGAAGCCAGCTCATTATCTGG